ATCACGCAACGCTCGTGTGCGCGTCCCGCGAACAGAGAGACACCAATCTTCGGAACTCACCACGGCGTGTTGCACTTGTGGGTCAGGGTCATGTAGCGCGCGCCCAGCCGATGGAAGCTCCTCAGCACCGCCATGGAGGTGCCGATGCTGTGGCCACCCTCTATTCCCACCAGGCTGGCGATCACCCCGTCCCGATGAGCGTTCTCCAGCTCGCCGCTCGTCGTCACTAGGCGGATTCGCTTGGGGTAGCGCGCCGTGAGCCTGCGCACGACGTCAATCTGCTCGAGGGTGAGCTGCACAGCGTCCAGGAATTGCGCCTCGCACGGCACGTAGGCCGACCAGAATTGCGCGCCGACGATTCCCTGCTCCAGGCGAATCAAATCGGTCTGCCATTGCGGGCCCCAGCTGGCATTGCGCGACAAGTCCTCGTCGAAGGGGAAGCTGTTCAGCTTCGTGCTGCCGCGGTGTTTACGAAGATTCCAGGCGAAGTCGTTGTGTCTGACAGACGAACACGAAGTGTGAAAGTTTAATATTTTTCCAATAAATAACTCGATAACAATTTTTATTGTCAAAATTTAGATAAATATAAAAAATTTTCACAAAATAAGTGTTTTAGTTGATCAAATATCTCGTATATATTCGTAGAAGATTGAGAATCAGCTGTTCTCCGGCATTGCGATAAAATATCGCGTGCAAACTTTTAGAAATCTATTTTAATCCAGCGAAAAAGATCTGTATATTCTCTAACAATTTATACAAGATACAACTTACCCGTCGATGAGAGGAACTTCTGACAACATTCGCCGGACCACCTGCAATCTGGCTTCCAGCAAATGCGAACTCCGAAGTTCCAAGGCGAGAGGCAGACCAACTCCAGCCACTAAGGCACATCCGAGGAAGAAGAATCCAGTCATCACCACCCATTTTCTCACAATACTTCGTCCTGCAATATTATATTACACGTACGTTAATATGCTGATTATTAATATCCCGTCTAAAATCGGTAAAGAGCGTGTTGCAAGGACAACCGTAACGGAATCTTCCCAGACCGAGGAAGATCAGCCGAGCGTAGACCGTATCTATCCGGACGTGAAATCACCGTGGCTTCGATCTGTCAGCTTTGCGGCCGAGTATGCTATCGACACAATCGGGGAGATCGTCGAGCCGTGAATAGAAATCATATCAAACTCACGAAACTATCGCTCGTCTCGCCACGCTCGTCGTTTCTCATCGCTAAGCAGCTTTTCTTCCCTCGCTCGCGGCGATTTTACATAAACGAGCTCGTTGACGTGAGAAATTGGAGAAAAGAAAGAAACAACGAAAATCGTTCGGTCATCGGGAACGACGGGTGTGACGGGAATGATAGGACAATCGAGAAAGCGTTCAGAGTTCAAGCGCAACAGGGTGGAATTAAATCTGTATTAATCCGATTTAACACTTTGTCTCGATCGTCATTTAATAATAGCATAACTAAATCGTTCACGCGAAACAAGTAGGTCGCTATAAAACCTATATTCAAGTGAATCTGACGCTAGAAGGCTCGAAATTCAATTATTTTCTTTATGTAATGATTGTTTAAATAATATATGAGCACACTCGCTTTGTTGAATTGATTTTAATGTAAAATATTTTAATAAAATAAAATCTTTCTGCTCTGCAATTGGAAGAAGTGACATTAAGGAGGTAAAAGAAAATCTTTTCACACGCGATAGATTTTCGGATATTTCAATTTAGCGCACAGGAATAATTTTTTATGTACTCACTGCTCTCTCTAGGCGGTTCCTTAGCCTTGTTGAAGGAAGTCGAAACACCCGTGTCCTTGATGTGATGAAGCGCATCGCCATTAGGCAATTTTCTCATGAGTTCTGGTGAGGAGAGTTGCAAGCAAGTCTGTAAAAATGCGATAATTTACAAAGCTATTTACAAACAGCGTCAACATCATCTACGTGAATCTAAGATTGCAAATAAGATTGCGTAACTATTTATCCGCATTGAACAAATGTCGCATTATGCCGGTGTTAATAGGAAAGACACCAAAGAAAAACACGTTTGCCTTGAAAAAGAGGAATAAATGCAGTAAACTACTTTACATAAGACATCTTGGACTTCTCGCAAATAACAAAAATTATTTTGGTAAAATTGATAGTTTGATAACTTTATGAAAAAATTGCTTTCAGCCAAACTTATCAAAGTATCATAATCGTTCTTACAAATATTAATTATAACAATTTTTTCATAAAGTTATCAAACTATCATTACATCTTGATGTAAGGTTTACTAGAAATAATATCTTGATGCAATTAAAAACTCTTATTTTTAGACCAAATATTTCTGAAATTACTAATAATAGCAAAAAAAATATTAAAAAAAACTCTGTCGCTAAACATTCTTATAAAAACATAGCTCTTTTATTAAATTCTTTTAGATTCCTCTAAATTTTCCAACATTATTACGAAAGAAAATAAGCAGCATTATTGAAATACTAAAATTGAACTCGGTTGTACTTAATTTACATTATTTAAAAATAAAATGCATAAGAATACAGCATGTGTGTGTATATATATATACATATATATGTTCATCATTAACTATCAATTAGAAAAATGCTTTACAAGTTATATTTCGGCGAATATTCTCTGAAATCCTGCACACCCGTCGCACAGCAATTAGGAGAAAGCTTTCAAGACCAATGTAATTAACGAGAGATTTTTAATAACGCACATCGTTGTTCTACTTACCTCCAGAATGTCGACTTCTTTTCGCCTGGGCGGCGGCGACCGATAAACCATGCCATCTTTATCAACACCATACAGCTCGAACATTTTCCTCCCTGATCCCACCGTCCGTCCGTCCGTTCCTTTCCCTTGCGAGGGTTTTCGCCGCTACCGTAAATACTGAAGGAACGGCGTCTCGACGCATCGAGCGTCGGCGCAAGCGTCAACCTCATATCGACCCAACTTGCAAAACGATACAAATCTAAAAAATGTTTGTCAATTAAAGTTGTGGGCAATAAAGCTGCTTGTTAATCTGCGATTTGATAATTGCATGTTGCATGAATTTATCATCATACGCTATCAAAAGATTATTTTCGCATTAATATTATACGTGTCGGATAGCTTGTTTGAAGTTTCAATACTCAAAGATCCGAAATATTGCCAATGATCCGAGATCCATCGAGAATTTACAGCAAAGTATATAAACCGTTCGCAGTGATTGAATTAATGAAAAATTGCTTCTTTTTTCAAAATGATTTTCCGACTTGCCTTCCCGCGGTCGGCCATTGCAAGATCACGTCTCCGCGCACGGCCAGCGACGGTGTCGCCATCCGGAGACCGTTTCCGCAGCCGCGGCGCCACGCCGTCCACGAATCCACGATAATAAAGAGCGGAAAGAGCGCTTCTCCCCTCCTCCCTTACCGACCGCCATATTGTTTGCGATATTTCGTGCACGTCGTTCTTCGCAGTTTTCGCCAGTGTAATTCGCATCCGGCGTGCTCTCGTGGGTAGTGTTATTATACCATCAACAAACATTCCGCGCAAAGGCAATATGAAGAAGATCAGGGACCATTCGGACGACGACGATTACGAGGTGGACGACCCGGACGATCCGGAGGTCGAGGCCGCTTCCGAAGAGGAGTGGACTCCCGAAGGCGAACCCGAGGTAAAATCCATTCTCGCGCGCCGCATTGTCGCACGATGCCTCGTCGCCGTCGAGTCTTCGCTCCGTTCGTCCAAACGGCGATCGGCCGATCACGGATCATCGCGATCCTTCCGCGATGCCATTCGCGCGACAAAGCGTTCGTCGAAGTAACGTGGCTGGGCCCTCATGCCGCCGACTCTCGGCAGATATTTCCGAGTGAATTGGACGCGCTGGCGAAAAAAAATCACCCCTACGCCCGATTTCCGCCAGCGCTAGTACGTTTTGGGTCATTCTGGGTGAAAACACCTGTGCTCCGCGAATGTATCGAGTGAAGCGTAGCGGCGACGACGGCGGCGGCGGCGGTTCTTTTCATGTCACCGCCGTGCGAAGCGCGCGCGAGATGAGACCCCTCGTGCGCACTTCGCCGTTTCCGGCGCGTTTTCGCGCCAAGCCCGAGTTCGTGTCTGCGGCGTGCGGTTTCCCGCACGGCGACGACGCCGCGCTGTTAGAACGTATTTTTCGAGGTAGAGCTGCTTGTCCAGCTCCGCGCTCCGGCTCGCCCGCATCGCGGCGGCCATCGTTGCCGGCCGGTCGGCCGCTCGGTGGCGCCGATCGGCGAGCTTTTCAAATCGCCCGAGGAAAGCCAATGTCGCGCGCTGCAACTTCCAGCATGCTTTTAATAGACATGTAATCATATATCAATGTATTTAAAGTTTTAGATATGCATTTAAAAAGAAATATCAGAAAGGCGTCTTTAAAATACTGCTTCGTCGTTTATTAAATATATGAGTCCCATTTAACAATTGCTTGTATTAACAGAAACAACTTTTAATACTTTCTTGATACAAATAATTACTTTCGGTTCTGTTTAATATAAATAATTATTTTATTGCACTGAATATTTAGCAATCACAAATTTTATAGATGGAGAAATGAATTTATTTGATCCCTTGAGAGTTACATTCGCTTTTTCTCACAACAATTGCTGTTATATTTGTTGTTTAATTACTATTGCTTACATATTATTTTTTTATGTACTCTAATGCTTCATAAAACGAATTTACACATTAACCTACATACTAACTTAATCACCACAGTTAAAGTTAGCTCTCTACATTCTAATTTTAACAGGCTCTTTCCCTTTCTGTCTTCTTCACCATCCCTTTCCTCTCATCCTTTCTATTTTTCAGCATTCTCTATCTCCGATAAATTTTATGTTATTATTTTTATCTTATTGGTGTAATGTTACTTTGAATTTCACACAGAGTGGCGCTAAACCAAGACCACAAAGAGGAGCAGCAAAAAAACGGCAACACTCTGAAGAGGAGGAGGAAGAAGAAGAAGACGAAGAGGAGGAAGAGGAGGAGGAAGAAGATGACGAATCTGATTCTGACACAGGGAGAAAACCAAAAAGAAAAAGGCGCTCTAAGAAAGAGGAAGATGACAAAGAGGATGAAGATGATGAAGATTCCGACGATAACAGTTGTAATGAGACAGGAGAAGCTCCAAAAGACTATACAGTGCGTAATCACACCAAGATCAATATCCGATGAATTAATATCTCTTTTTAATATCAACATCTCACTGATCTTTCTTGCAGTCTGGTTCATTTGTTCTCGCAAAAGCTGATCTTGGACCTAATAAGAATAAGACATCTAATAAGGGTAAATCCGATGTAGAATCAAGCCCTTATCCAACTTTATGGAGGATAGATGGAAAAGCGCTACTCCAAAAATTTTTACCCTTTGAAGAAGATGGAAAAGTACTGTACAAAAGCACAACGACAGTAAGTACATTGTTTTTCAGAACTAAATATGAAGCATCCTACTATTAATCAAATTGATTCCCCTTAAATTCAAATGCATGAATCGATATTAGATAGATCTACATGGCTTCGCATCAATTGTATGTATAAATATAAATAAATCTCATACAAAGTGTATTTACTTTCAGTATTCTGGATGGCAAATTAGTAACAAAGATAATTATATAGCAGTTCAGGTGACTTTCAAAGTGCAAAGTAGACAAGAAACAATTGTTGAACTTCACTTTGATCCGACGCAACATCAAGAAGTTGTAAAGTACGTAGATTGCATTTTGCGCTAATCCATAACTATAATTGATGCTAAATATTGATGAATTGTTATTTTTTGCCTGTTTCAGAGATGATAAAGAAGACTAAATTAGATTGAGTATGATCTTATTTGTTTATATACGTTTAAGAAAACACGCGACAATGGAAGGAACATCACATCTACATGTACACCATCTACGAACCATATTTAAAGTTTACTCACACATACACACACGGACGCAGATCGACATGGTACTGTAGCAAATTTATGTTCGAAACTTAATATCGGGTGGACCATGGCTCTTTGAATTTATTACTGGGGGTAGCTTTAGCTATAATTCACGTCTCTGACAAAAATATGTGTGTGAGCTTAAGTTATTAGAGCTACTCGCGTGCATATGTATTTACAGAGTTCGGCAAATATCGATTGATTTACAAATGTTTCACGTCTTGGACAGAAATCAATGTTACCTAATGTAATGGATGCATGTTGATGTTCATTTTTTTTTTTAAGACGCTATCGTTAGTCTACTCATAATTTAAGCTTTATTTTACAGAGCATTGGCCTTGCGACCTATGTGGCTATTTTAAGCGCGCCCTTAGACAGAAATAAATGGAACCAACATGTCATCGCAAATGAATAGTATTCGATATGATAGCAAAAATACAAAGAAACAGTATGAACAGTCGAGATCAGTTGACTGAATATGAATATGTAGTGAAATGCATCATTTATTCGTACATATCTTTCTTTGATCAGCTCCAAGATTAAAGTCAAGAACAACGCCAACATTCAGAGCGGTATGAAGAGAATAATGAATTCTGCAGGCAATATTTACTATGGTTCCCCTAACTGCTACGGGCGACGCTGAGTCAGTTCTTGTGCGTACACTTAATCGTAAGATGTAACAAAATCTAGAAAACACTTCCAGTAATAATCTGCATTTAGATCTTTTATCGAATTTGTTAAGAATAAGTTAGGCTAGGGAAAGAGGAAAAATCGGTAAGTTACGCCGTTATCGATGATCAATTTATCTTATTATATTTATCGTTACAAGTAATCCCGCATTATTTTGTCAATTAACATACTATTTTTTAAAAATTGACATGCTTTTATGTATGATTATATTATATATAACTCAAAAGACATTTATACAAATATATATAATATATTTAAGATCCACTTCAGGTGTGTTCTTTGACCAATTTTTCCTTTTTTCTTAGCATAATTTATTCTTTATAAGCGGGGAAAGGGTAAAAACAAATTACTATTTGTTTCTATGAAGTGTTACGCAACGTGCGTTTAGCTGATAAATCCAATAAGTACGAATCATGGATAATACACATGAAAAAATTGGACATCCAATTGTGGTAAATATTTATTGAGTTCTCCCACAGTTGTACAATTGTACCTTACTTCTAGAGTGCTCCTATTCTGTTTGTATAACTACTTTCTCTCTCTGTACTACTATAGATAATATGTATCTTATTTGGACTTCATCACTTAATAATTGTGCAAGAAACGAGAAAAATATCATAAGTACAGAATATATTATCGACTTATTATGTAAAAAGTGGATGTTTACTGTGTAAAAAGTTCATTATGTAAAAGTTAAATAACGTTCCAAAGTTTATGATTTGTACTGAATCGTTTTGATTATAATCTTGTAATCTCTGTGCTAATTACAATTTGATTATATATTGCGATTAAATAAAAAAATGCAATTTCCTTTATTGAGTGACGATGTGAGTGTTATGACTTAAGAAAAATTGAGTAAAAACGCACTTAGTAATATCAAATAAACTTCCAATTGATGTTAGCATTTTATGCATTAAGTAAAAAGTGGACAAACATATACATTTAATAACACAATATATAAATATATATTAATTTAATGTACTTAACATTTTTTCTGCTCCTGCCCAAATATATTTTTGTAAATGATTCTGCTATTCTGCTATTTATACTATCGTATAATTTGCACAATAAACACACTTGATTAATTCTTACGAAATTAATACGGAGATTCTTTTAATATATCAGCTACTTATACTATGCCGTTTTGCTAAATCATGTTAGATTAAAAAAAAATACATTAAAGCTAAATAAATGTATATATTATTTACAATTACGATGTAAAAATACCCATAATCAAGAAGTGATGACTTTATTATTTATGGCAGGACGAACTAATTCTTAATATATTAATATTCAAAACCATGAGTTTCTTAAAATTTCTTGGAGTTATTATCTTGGTTATACAAGGAAAAGTTAAAAATTAGATATCACTGTGTTCACAGTAACGGTACAGGACTAGATCTCAAATTCCTTTTGCATAAAGCATGAAGTGGCTAGTATTCGTTATGATTAAAACTTATTATTGTGAAATGTACGCACCTATTAGAAAACTGACGAAAGTATCAAACTTTCGTCACTATTTTGATCGTGCTCCCACTGTTATGCTCTAATGCAGTTAATTCTTTTTGATGCACATGTATATTACAAAATACATATGACTAAAATACTAAATAAACTATACAGACACTACCAAACGTGAACAAGGGAAAACTGTGACAAATTGCTTGCCAACCGTGAGGTAAAACGAGATGCTCCATCAACAAATATAATTAGAAGGTAACAAACGTTAATTCGACATTTCAAACTTAACAAGTATATTAGATATGGTAACGGGAATGTATAGGATTCACACAACAATGAGACGATTAGAGTGAGATAGGGAGAGAGAAAGAAAAAAAAAACCAAAGTAAGCCAAGATAGACTGAGTCGGTCAGTCGTTTCGAGTAAGTTGCAGAATAAAATCTGCACAGCAGCAAAAGTCAAATTGTCAAAAAAGCCAGGCGACATAAAACTCAATCATCTTACGTGCTTTAATATCGCCGCTGAATTGGTATCCGAATTGTCGATTGCAAAATTCTCTTCTCTCCTGTTAACTAATATTTCCATAATATCATTGATATGTTCAATTTCATGCGCATTCACCTCATAAACTTATGTTTACTCATTGCAATATACACTGTTCAACGAAATATTGCAACGTTAGATTTATTGCACTCATCTTTTTGACCTAGTATTAAATAAAATTTGTATACTTCAACAGGATTTGCATCTTTATTTATAACTCGTTTTAAGATGTGTAAAAAAATGCACGAGTTGCGAATAAAGGTGCAAACATATAAAAAGATTTGTGCTAATATTTTTTTATGGCGCGCTTAGCACAGAGGTAATATCATATTTTTTGTGTTTCTCAATATTTTGAATTAAAAATAGACGCTAAAAGATCCGTTATTCTCGTGTATAGGTCGTAGAAATATTCTTTGTGTCTTACAAAACACGTGCTTCGAAAATATTCGATTTCTAAAATAGAGAAGTAGACCAGTCCGAAATGTTGAATGTATAGAAAGCTCGAAATTTTATGAGGGTATTAGAGTTTTCTGCCCTAGTACACACATATCCTATATCACAAGATGATAACTATAGTTAGCCATTTCTCTCTTTCATCAAAAACTGGCAAAAAATCCAATCTTTTGACGGTTCATTTAAAATCCTGGTTCCATTCTAACCGATAAAACATTACTCAGCATATCACGAATTTCTGCCATCTCCCTTCTACTTCTCGCTAGCATATCCTCCAACTTTCTATTTTCCCGCATGATCTTTTCCATCTTTTTCCAATATTTCCGTTTGTCGGCGTGACAGTAACAATCTGTGCAATTCTTACCGTGCTTACAATCTGTACACACACTACTTTTATAACAACAAATTTGATTATCTTCCATACCTGAATGATCGCTGGGTGCTAAATCTTCCTCTGCTGAGTCTGCCTCTGTAGCTAAGGATCGTTCTATCTTGTCGATGGATTCGCTAATCCTCGATGGCGAAGGCGTACAAGTAGGCTTTCCAGATGAAGATTCCGTATCTATCGTTGGTTCCAGATCACTTTTACGCTCAGTAGGCTCGAATGGTTTTAATGTATCTAGTTGGTGCGCACTATTAGTTACATTATTCGATACTTCTTCTTCTTCATTGTCTATATTAGATTCAGATATTGCATTCGATACGCTAGATCTAATAGGACTCAGATCGCAATAATGCATCGCAGCTGTATCACACACTCTGGACTGTCTTTTGAAGCTTTTTCTTTTCTCTATTAACGTGCTTCCCTTACTTTGGCTTTCAGTGGTGCGCATTGCGCCATCACTAAATCTTCGCTCCTCGAGCATTTTACTCTTCAAAAATTTACTCTTCAAAGTGTCAAAGGAACCGTAGCTAGCCGTACGAATGTCAGGGAACTCGTATTTTTTGCACGTGGGAGTCGACGCATCGTATTCTCGTTTATTATCATCTACACTTGTGCCACTTTGAGCAATGTCCGAGCTATTTGGGTCCACCAGATTGTCTTTTGATAATTGGTCAGTTTTAGGAAATTCGACAGTATCGTCAAACGACAACTGTTTCGTGAGCTTCTTGTCATTCGTCGAAAAGTACCAGTAATGGGACATTATACTTTCTTCCGGAGAGGATTGCTTTAATTCTATAGATACATTAGCATCCAACAGGCTATCGTCATCATCTTTCGCATCACTGGACGCAAGTTTCGTGCCACTTGTGGATATTTCAATTAAATTTCCGTCGCATCCGAAGGCAAACGACTTTTCTCCTGCAAGAGAAGAGGCGCAATTTATACAAGTCGAACGTTGGTACGAAATTATTCGCCTTAGCTCCCCCTATTTACCTATAATCATACGTTTGTTGCGCATATCCGGACTTCTGGAACGTTGCTGTTCCAAGAACTGCCTGTTATCAGGAGACAGAACAGAGAGCCTGCCATTTTGCTGCGATGGACTGCACGGTTCGCAGCTGTACGCACTCGTATCCCCTTCATGGCTTTCGTGCTCCCGCAAGCGGTCCATAATCTTTTGCACAATTTCCGACGGCGCTACATATGGTGATCCTTCGGGAAATGTAAAAAAGATATATATCTCTTTATTAGAGTTAGTGGAGAATTTGGTGTAATACCCATAAAACAAATAAAACTAACGATTAAAAAAATGCAACACTGAAAAGATGCATAGTGCACGCTGAAAATGATACTGCACAGATCAATTCTATCACATTCGATAAATTCTCGGGTTATCGCAACCGGGTATTTTTAAAACAAATCATTACACGCGCTTAAAATTAAAAAAAAAATTAAATGCTACTTTACATGACCATTGCGAGATATTCATTAGATTTTCTCGTCAACAGCTAATACTATGTTTTATAAATCCGTGCTACTACTATTAGTACATATTATCATATTAATTTCAAATATCATACTATTATGCATGCAAATCGATCGAAAACTAAACACACATAACATTATTACATCTCCACAACTTGATGAAGCCTATTATTATGCGCATATAATTATGCATTATCGAGTGTATCTTGAAATATCTTTAAAAGTATCTAATATATTTATACACAAATCTATATAAATAATCTATTCATACATAATATTAAGACAAATTAATTTCTACGTAAAAATAGCAAACTATTGCATATTGATTGACTTTAATAGCACAAGCTCAACAACAATCTAAGCAGAAATAAGCTGTAACTCTTACTCAAATAAAAAACTCTAATAGTATTAAAAAAACAGCTATACATTTCTAAATAAATATGATTAAATTAACTTTATAAGAACACATCAAAACAATTCTAGCCACAAGTTTTCACGCGAGACTTACAAAATTACTTGGTCTGGAGTTTCCGCGTTGTCGAACACGCGTAGGCACGCGTAATGCGCTACTGTTTCCTATAACATTATCATGCTGTATGACAAAATATCTGTCTGTTTACATTTTACACCCAGAAATAAAAATTTAACAGTTATAAAGTTCATAAAAAATACTCCTGCGAGTTTGCAACACACATTTCATAAAGTTATAATCGTAAAATCGTAAGAGCGACGCGGAATTATTCTTATCTGTATTATTTGTACAGGAAAAAAAATTGAATCTTTAATGAACAGTTCAAATTTTCTATGTAGTTTAATTGTCACTGAAAAAAAAATCAACCTTACCTGTTAGACCTCTATATCCTAAAGATACTGAATCAAAAGATTCGCTGCTTTGCTGCTGCTGCTTAAGGAACTCGTCTATAGCGATGCCTTGTAACGACGATGGCTGAAGGAACCGTTTAGGAATGCGAGAAACCGATCCGTTCTCCTGCGGACTGGCCGAGCAGCCGCCGAAACCAAGATCGAGCAGGATCGCTGTCGGATCCGCTTTTCGTAATTCTAATAAACTCTCAACGCTGCTGCAGTGACTGCTGTCCGACTGAAAGCTCGCGTCTCGCGCCAGTCTGTGATGAGGAAACGAACTGCAATTGAAATGAATACCGACGATTCAATTTCGCGGATTCGTAATGAGAGAGCAATGTTGATCTTCGAATTTTTCTTTTTTTTTTCTTAATAATACCTTGGAAGTGTTGGTGTATTCATTGCTGCAGAATTAGGAACATTAATAGGCGCCGATACAGTCATACTTGGAGGCTTTGGATCCTTAGGAAACGGAATGTCCTTAGGCTCTGTTAGTGTTAACGATTTGCTCGGGCCGTGCTCCCGGCACTCGCTGCCAATGGCGATCTCCGATTTTGTGGACAATGGTATCGAGTCAATCCATTGTTGCACCGGTCCACCGGCACGCCGTCTCATTTCCCAAACTCCACGCAGCCAATCTGTCACCTTTAGAATAGTTTCCTTGCCCACATTCTCTAATAAAGCATAAACAACATTTATAATAAAATTCTATGAGTTAATCATCGCACATTAATTAATAAAATCGCGTATTAAAATGTAATAATTAGTGGAGATTTGCTATCTCACTGTAATTATTTTATGAATTATTAAATATCTGTGATATTCTTAACTAGCAATTGGTTTATCCACGAGATAAAAAGGTCAATAAAGTGAAACAAATAAAATTTTTGCTCTAAAATAATATCTTTGTAAGCATAAATTATCGTCAGACTGATACAGAGTGATCACTCTTTCTCGCGAGTTTTATGTAATAGCTGTTGTAATATCTTGATGCTCAAACATCAGTCAATAGTATAAAATTATAGTAGCATTTTATATAAAATTACTTTTTTACTTCTATGTGTTGAAGGCAATTTTATCATGCACTTTGTCATTAAGAATTGCACACATTACAATTATGATAATGATATAACGCTCAAAATAAAAATGCAAATAATAATAGCAGCAAAACAATGTTCCATTTTTGCGAATTTTTGCAAGTTCTACTTTTCATTGATTGCACAATTCTCTTAATATTTTAATATTTCAGAGATGCTGTGCACATGCACCGATAAAAGTCACAAGCGTTTAAAATAAAATGCGCAATAATTTTAATGTAAATATTAAAGCGATAACATCGATAAGAAAAAAATGTTTCTGCACATCTGCATACTTCGCAGATGATGTCACAGTATGAGAAACTTTATTTGTTACACAACGAAAGCTGCAAAGCACAGTCGATTCTATCCGCTACAGTCTGAGTGAGAGATTTGTCCCGAAAACAGAAAGCTCGTCGACTAAATACCTGGATCCATATCTTGCCGGGCAGCATGAGGACAGAATATTGTAAGAAAGAACTGCGCGCATGTGACGCGTATAATACATTATTATCATACGTAACAGGCATCGCACGCTCACTCAAGTTTTACGCCGTTTGTGCGCCGCGATTGCGAAATTGCGATAGATTTCAACGAGCGCGGAATCGCATTTAACAAACGCTTATTGACTCCTGGAGTGCGAGGGGAAGCGCATAAAAGCGATGCTTACCTTCCTTCAATTAGGCGGACGACGCCACTATCTAGACGCTGATACGCGCGTGATGTCCTCGCGGGCAATCAGAGCGGTTCGAAACGCATGTTTGCGCGACCGTGAGCGATTCGTGTGCGGCGCGGAGCGATTGAGCTAGCACACTTGTCAGTGTCAGTTGGTGTCCGTGACAGTCCGCACGCCACGTCATGTGCCCCGGCCGGTCAGTGACGGATGGAAGGTGTTTTGCGGCCCTCGTAGCGACGTCTGAATCGTTACAAAATATAAATTAAACGTTACATTTCTCCGCGATCATCATTCGCATCGCTTTTCCGGCAGGTTCGTTTTTACAACAAACTAAAGGTGTTTAGTCCGTGCAGTTTGAGCAATAATTGAACTACTCGATCGAATATTTGATTATTGTACGTAGAGAAAATTTATGTACAATCGTTGCAATAATTAGCTTTTCTTTATCCAAATGAATGAGTTATATTTATATTATTCTCCCATACAAAATTATGGTCCAACAAATCAGAAAAATTCATTGTAAATATTTTTTTATTCGCTTCTTCGCAGGAATCGTTATTTCGCCGGTTGTATCGCAATTTATTTGATACCCGGTATACGGACGCATCTGCTGCTGCGCATGCGTAAAGTTTGGTAACAAAAAACTTCTGAATAGCGCTAACAGATGACACTTGCCTGCAGAATGTTAGGCAATGTTGGGTCTGTAAATAACTTTCCCAATGCAGATGACAGATGGCGTTTGCCTGCAAAAATATGAAACTGACAGGTGAAATTGGCCGCTCCTTTCAGCTGTATCATTGCATCCTTCGAGAAATAAATGCAACAGTAAATGTATTAGACAGAAATATAATGTAGTGCAGAGCTAAACGCAGAAGAGGCAGTTCGCAGCGTAGACGGTACTCTCAGACACGATGCGAGATGTTTAACATCTGGAGTGAAGGTGTGTGCGTATGCGTCGCAACGCTGCCTCACAGCTGATGCGCGGTGACGTCACTAAAACAAAGCCATGCGCGCTCGCTCGGCGGCGGAGCGCGAGAGACCGAGAGTGAAGTCGCTCTGCGAGCGCGACGGGCACACATTCGGCGTCCACGGCGACGGCAAGGTGCGCCTTGCGTCCCCGCGCCTCTTCGAGTTGTCGCAAGTTGTCGCAAGTTGATCCCGATCGTCGTCGTCTGGCGTCGCGCGCGTCCCCGCCCGCCCGCGCCGTGAGCCAGGATGCCGTTCATATCCAAGGACTGGCGTAGCCCGGGCGAGGAATGGGTGAAAACGGTCGAGGGCTGGGAAAAGAAGAAGATCCTCGAGTGCGCCAACAACAAGACCCTCTCGCTTCTCCTACGGTGAGTCGTCGTTTCCTTATCCGTCTCCGTTTCTCTCCTATTCCTCCTCCGTCTCGCCGCAATTTCTTTGTTCGCCTCGCGACGGTGCGCACGGCACACAGCTGTTACTCGAGCATTTACATCGATCCAACTGACAGCTCCGTTTGTTTACATGCGAGCGCCGAGCACTTTCGCGCTGATTGTCCGACCCGCTTCGCTACGGGAATCGCCGCATCGACGAACAGTCGATCGGAGATGAACGTTTTCAATGCATCTCGACGCATGCATATCGTTATTCGGAGCGATCGAACGGGGTCCGAATCGCTAGGCCTAATTCTCTTTATGGCTGCTGTGTCTCCAGCGTATCTCAGCCTTAATAGACGCTTATATTCTATGATAAAAAAGATGCGGAGTCAATTATTGCTTATCGCGAATAATGCGAATTCAATCGGTGCCGCCGATCGTTGCGCAATTTTTTATTCCGCCAGCGATATTCGCGAGCCCGTGATATAATTCCGTTCCGACGCGATTTATGGGACAAAAATGACGAGCATCATTCTTGCGCGAGTCGACCGCTGACCCTCCGGCGCGGGTGATTCCATGTTATCCGGCTGGCTTAGGCGAGTCGCGTTTCCGACGTTGATTTTCAAGTTCAGAATAATGTCATTCGAATTAATCGACGCTACGCAATACACGTAATACGCAGCGCGAGGTCACGCAGAGCTTAATCGCGGCTTTTCACATTTTCTGCAAACAATAGCCATGCATTTTCTGCAAACAATAGCCATCCGATTTGTTATATATGAATCGATTGAATAAATGTCGAAATATTAATAAAAAAAAAAAAAAAAGGCGCCCAGCAGTTCCGCTGGAAATAACATCGCTGTTTTGCGGAAAGATAAAAAAACGTAGGAAAGTGTATCAAAAGGACAGACTGGACAGCCCTATTGTATCGCCAGCACGGCTGTCTAGTAATTTTTTTTTATTGGGTATTATTATCTCGTGGTTCTTGAGATTGATTGAAGCTCGAATTGATCGCTGATGCTCCGACGTGCTGCGGCTTCTGGGTGATGCCATTTCTAGCATCACGTCGAAGAAAATCATTTTTGTGTTGCTAAAAGAAAGCGAAGTTTGCGATATTCGACGCTCCGAGTTGCGAAACTATTAAAAGCTTCAATTCACAGGCGTGTAATTGCGCAGGTAATTTCGTGACACATTAAAATCACATTTCCAATTTGCGGTGAAGGGAAATGCGCGAACCTGTTTATCATCGACATAACGAAGGTTGAAAAACTTATTTTGCAGCACACGCGAAGACTCGATCGAAATCGAAATTATGCGCATTGTAGATTTTTATCGACGCGCTCGAGCTGAACGCTTTGCATGAAAATCGCGACAATGGTATCGAGAGATCACACAAGGGGAGAGTCGATTATTTTCTTTCATTTGCACGCAGTTGCGTGCAGAACGCGTTACGCCTCGCGAAAGAGTTCACACCCACGGATTTCCTAACATTCGGTTTTCTAAGAATTAATTAAACGCTAATAAGTGTATCGGCGTTGTTGACTCCGCGCGAGTAGAATTGTTCTCGTCTCTCAGGAGGAATGCTGACTTCATTCATCCCGCGCGGAAAATGATGGAAATTGCAGGGAAAAGTCTTTTTTTTTAAAGAATACAAGCTTTTTGAAAGCAATTTAAGAAGAAAGAAATACGTGCTAGCGGATTTTACGATTTCTCCAACAATTCAGCAGGAATGAGAAATATATTTCAAGGTGGAAAGAAGGTAGAAATTGGACTGCGAAGCGAGGGAAAAAATGCTGATTTTATTTATGGAAACGTGATTGATGATAAAAATTAAGTTAGTGCATTTTTATTTTATTTCTTCGGTCTTCTAAAAACGCATATAGCCTGCAGTGTGACATAATTTTTAAAAATACATCTCTCTCGAGCGGGAAATATTGACTGCATCTATATAAAAACTTTGCTAGTAATAGAAGTTAGTTAACATACTCCCTTATTCGATGTGCCTTTTCAAAAATGCATTTTCGTGACTCGCGTAGCGATGATCGGTCTTGTGCGAAAAAAATTGGCAATTTTTTCGAAATTAATATAACGAATATGTGTGATTCCTCTCGCTCGAGATTTAAAATTTAATCCCCTGCGCGCCGATGCGCGATTTTCCGGAATTAAATTAGGACCAGCGATTATCTCGAGATTATGTGGAAATTGGCGGTCGCGATTTCTTCGACCGGATATTGAGCCCATTGTGCTCGTTGCACCAGTTGTATTTGTGACCGTGACAGACTTAGATAATTAGAATCGCACCGCGCGTCCAGCTTGCACTCGCGTCTGTCAAAGAACGCAACGCGGTCTCTTTGTATTTGTTACGGGCGCTGTTCCCGCATCTGGAAACAGCTGTGCATCGCGTAAACATATTCACGCAACTTATTGCGCCTCGTAAATATCGCCGCCGACAGGCACGTGAGATCGTTGTTAAGAGCGTAATCAATTATCTGCTATTTGCAATTTCGCTCGACAAATCCAGTTCCTCGAGAAAATTGAAGAGTGCAAATTACAATCAAATCTCTCGCGCGATAGGTGAATATTTGATTTTCGTCAATCAGAAATATATTATTTATATATTGTACAATTAGCGCGATGTGTTATAAACTTTCGAAACCCGAGGCGATTTCTAGATCGCATTTGACAAAAAGCTTTCTCTTCTGCGACGATGGGCGAAAGGCGGTCTTAAACTGTCTGTTTTACGTCGGATTTATTGCAGCGTGCAGTATGCCGATCGATTCGCAATGTGAACTTGATAATTGCTTCTTATTACGCTTCCGCGTCGACGGAAAGTTTACAAGGCATCGGAGCGGTTCGGTAACGTTACTTTTGCGTATTACTTTTGAGACAACAGTCTCTCGTCTAATATTGAATTACTTCGCTTTCGTTCGAAACCTGATAATTAGTTCGCTAAGTCCAATCGATACGCACTGATATTTGACACTTAATTGCAACTTAACTCTAACTCCAAATAACCAATAATTGTGAGTAGCGTAAAGCAATTAGCTAAAGCAATTAGCTTGTCAGGAATCAAGTCTATAATTGTGCATTTTTCAGAAGCGTTTTTGCAGATAATTTAAAAATAACTTCGCAACATTTACCTAAATAAGGAAATAATCGAATGGTACAAATAACATTTGTTTATCGGAAATTATTGACGGGTCCATTAAAAACTGAATATTTAATAAACTGATTTCGAATTATTCGAAAATACTTTAAAATGATTCAATTATATCGTTACTTTTAATTATTCGCATTTTATATACACATTTTAAGTATCGTATTGAAAATTTTATTCACGTATCACTTAGTCATCTTTATTTTGCGAAATTATAGGAAACGCGATACGCGGATTTTTGGTATCTATGCTTTTATTTCCGTTAAACTCTGCCGAACATATTTTTTTCGTCGCATTACGCAGAATGTTTATTTTTTAAGCCGCGCGGTTTCGCGTTGCGTGTCTCTTGCGTTTCCAATTAGCGGCGCGTGCGCCCGGACTTTTTGCGAGCACAAAAAGCTTGCATATAGATATATGCGCAACGCTTTCGCATTTTCAATGCTTCGTTAACCGTAATTATTCTATTAGCGTTACATGTGCGTTAGAAGCATTCTCGAAACAAGTCGTGTATTCGTGTACTCCGATCTTATTAGCGTGATATTTCATTCGTACGTTAGCAGAGATAGAAATTGAATTCTTATTTTCACACGCATTTCAGTCAATGGAAATATTTTCTTACGTGCATTTTCAAGATATTTGAGTTTCACAAGAAAATCGCCAATAGTCGAAGTTCGCATGATCGTACAAGGAGAGTTTCGACAGACTCGACTTCGTTGCGCTTTCTCGCACCCGTCGAAAGAAACCGACTCGTCCTTTCCTTCACGCTGAATGAAGATGTAGCGAGTTGGAGATCAAAGTCAATCGAGAAATCGTTCCTCAGAAGCTTGAAAAAGCCGGACAGACGAAAATTCAATGCATTTCACGTAACATCCGCGCTCTCCATTTAAAAGACAATTCGCCGAGCGGAAATAGTTTCTGATACGACATTTTTGTCCAGCAGAAGCCAAGTTTCTTCGACGTAGAAAAGCAACGTGACAACCCGAGTCGAAATTTAGCACCTATATTAAACCTTAATCTTTTATTTTGAGGTAGGCATAAGAGAGTCAAAGTAGATGTTATGCATTGTATCGTATGTATATAATAGCACCTACTTTGGCGCTACAATATGTCCGAAATTTCCTTTTTTCCTACTAAAGTTTCAAAGTAGGGTTTAGTTAAAACCCTCCGTTGACCCGCTTTAGACCCTGAAAATATATAGATTCCTTTTTGCCAGCACTACTTTTATGATATTATCAAGAAATTCTAATGATTGCAAATGTTCACAATAAAGAAAAATACTAACTATAATTTTGATTAACGATAATTTTTTAATAGCATAAAATTTAAAAATATCATCAATCAATACCATTTAGTTGAATTTTATTATCTTTTGAAAATTTGTAATTATTAGAAATTTCTTGATAATATCAAAATATAATATCAAAATTCAACTATTGAGTATTGATTTCTAATATTTTTAAAAATTCTATGCTATTAAAAATGATCATCAATTAAAATTATACAGTTAGTAATTTTCTTTATTATTGTGAAGATTTTTGCAATCATTAGAATTTTTTGATAATATCATAAAACTAGTGCTGAAAATCCATATACCTTTGTGATTATATTAAAAATATTAAATTATGATATTAAATATAAAATAAGATATTAAAAACATTACATAATATTTATTGAATTAAATATTATTTATTAAGTTGTAACGATGCAGCCCGCTGCATCGTTACGGCTACGGACCGTCCATCGTCCGTAGCCCACCAAGGGCGCATCGCGCGCCGATAAATTTCCTATCAAAAACAGCGGCGGTCAACCGCCGAAAATCCCCCACACCCGACCGTTCCGA